TACATAATTTGTCAAATAAATGTAAGCATAAAGTCAAAAAATAAATCTGTCACCATTTGAACAACACTTACATACACATGTACATGTACACCTGTTAATCACAGCACAAACTTGTAACACAAAAAATATATACTACAAAGATAACATACATGTAAAACCATAAACACTCTATTTCCATAGAAAATACCCCCAATCAAAGGAAAAAGGTACTAATACTGGAGAAACGCATTAAATACCACAAAAAGATCCTAACCAACAAATCAATACCAGCAAAATATAAACCTCAGCATCTTTTAGAGTCATCAGAGGCATCTCAAAATAAAATGAACAGAATCTTCATCAAAGAATACAACGAGATCTTTTTCAAACACCTCAAACGTGTCATTGAAGCTGACACTACAGTACTAAATGTCAAAATGGCAAGGCTTCAGTCAGCTAAAAGCTATCATCATCAGCCAACTACAGTTACATGTAAAACCCACACGTCAGCAAAGCCTCAACAAACAAACATATATGCATCTCAAGAAGCAAACTCAAGAAAAAGGAAAAATACAGATTCACAAAGTACCAACCCAACAAAGCAACCGAAAATAAGTCATTTTTTAGAGAAAAGTCGTCACAGACCACCAAACATAGAATGACAAACAGTAACACAATATACAACCTCAGCTCCTATAAACTATCGCAAAGTCAGCTTAACATTTTAAACAAAGGTCTATCTTTCTCACCGAGTCAGCCATTTAATCTACAAGATCATCTCTCCTTTCTAAATCAGTATGATGCGTTCAGCAACTCACTTAGAGATTTAGCTCTCACAGATAATGACAGACCACAACATACCCCAGATTTAAGTCTCAACAGTGTAACCCAGCACTTATATAGAGAAATGAAGTTCCTCAAAGGTTCAACACAACCACATTACCCACCATACTTTACTACTAATATCGCATCAGTTGAAAATTTCATTGAGAGTACGAAAATTGAAATAGACAAACTCCTTAGTAAAATTACATCAAAGCAGAAAGAAAATACATCCAAACAAGAACTCAAAGCGATAAAATCGTTAAAAAAATCAAACCTAGTTATAAAACCGGCTGACAAGAACTTAGGCATAGTAGTGATGAATAGCAATGACTTTGTCGAGCAATGCCTGAAGCAACTGACATCAAACACATACGTCAGAGTAGAAACCGTGCCAGAGGAAGAAATAAAAAAGAAAATACAAAACACTCTCGTCAAGTTTAAAAATCAATTTGGCGCCTCAAATAACAGATTATATCGCTTTTTACAACCAAACCAGAAATATCAAACTCCTAATTTCTACGGACTTCCCAAAATGCATAAAGAACTAGATGTGAATGGGCTACCTCCACTCAGACCAATAGTCGCACACAATAATTCTCTATTGTCAAACACAGCAAAATTTATTGACCACATCCTACAACCACTTGCACAAGCATATAATGATTACCTGAAAAACTCAACTCAACTGATCTCATATCTAGAAACGTCAACAATACCAAATGACATCATACTAGTAACACTAGATGTCAAGAGTCTCTACACATCTATCCCTCAAAGCGAATGTCTAGAATCAGTCAGAAATGAAATGTTCAATCACCAAGATCTCATAATTTTTGATCCAGATTTAATAACACATCTTCTCAGCATTAATCTAAATAATAACTATTTCGAATTTAGTAAAAAAGTTTTTCTTCAAGTCATAGGAACAGCAATGGGAGCAGCCTTCTCTCCGACAGTAGCCAACATCTACATGTCTGTCCTCATTAAAAGGTTCCTATCTTCAACCACTGAAAAGCCATTCTTCTTTAAACGCTACATTGATGACATCATAATGCTATGGCCCAAACATCAAGACCTTAATAATTTTTTTAATAAACTAAACAAATTCCACCCAAACATCAAGTTCACCATGTCGCAGTCAGAAACAACTATCAATTTTCTTGACATAACCATCTACAAGGGTGAAGATTTCTCTGAAACAAATAAACTCAGCATTAAAACATATCAAAAAGAAATTAATCGATACCAATACCTTCACTTCAACTCAAACCACCCAATACATATATTTAAAGGCCTCATTATTGGCGAAACAATAAGATACGTTCGCACCAACTCTACTATAATTGAATATAAGAAACAAATAAAAAGATTCACTGAACGTCTCATCAGCCGAGGATACAAAATTAACTTTATTAACACAGCAATAAGAAGTGTGAACTACAAAAATAGGGCTAAATACCTTCAAAACAACAACAACAACACCACAACAAAGCAACGCCTGCAACAACCCATACTAAAATGCACTCCACCACCAAACTTCATCTGCATAAAAAGAATTATTCTTGAACAATTTCATGAATACAATTTATCACGATACAGCAAAGAACCATTATTTGTAACATTGAAAAGCAACACTTTGAAAGATATCGTCGTCCACAGCAAGCATAGACCATCAACAAAAGATTTACGAAAAATAACAGAAAAAACCAGCCCGATACCACAACACAACCAACCAAAAAGAATTGTCACTTTGAGAACAGCAGGACCAAACAAATGCAACAAAAAACGCTGCAGTACCTGCAACCATTTCAACTCGTCTGCAATTTTTAAAAGCACAGCAAACAAAAGACAATTCAAGATAGAACATCCCTTCACGTGCACTAGCAGCAATGTCATATATCTCATCACATGTCTCAAATGCCAGAAACAATACGTTGGGAAAACATCAAAAACATTACGTGAACGAATTTGCCACCATCGATCAAGTATTAACAACAACGAACCCAGATACATCAGTAAGCATTTCAATCTACCTGGACATCAACTTTCACATCTCAAAGTCCAAGTCATTGACAGTCCAAAATCGAACGACCCAGAAACACTTGACAGATTAGAAACACACTGGATTCAATCTTTAAACACAATACAACCTAAAGGTTTAAATGTTTTAAGCAACCAACAGATCTAACAACTCAAGGTATTTCAAATATACATGTAACAAAACAAAAACTCTAGATCTTATCAAAAATACATTACAATTATCAAAAGGGCGGGGTCCCCACAGAGGTGGGGACCCCGCCCACGTGTCCTCACCTCTGTGGGTTTTTTCTCTCTCTCTCTCTCTCTCTTTCTCTCTCTCTCTCTCCCCCTGCCTTTTGTTGCTTATATGTAAGTCACACAAAAATTATATATACATAAAGTCACCCTAAATACAAACAAAAATGAATAAACCCATTTAAGAATTAACAATCTTATTAATTATTCATAACAATCAAAAAATAGCACCTAATGAATATAAAGTACCAAGCACATGATAATCTTAACAGAAAATGGCAACTCTTAACAAAAACAGTGGTAACAGTAAGTTAAAAGTTCTAACACACACCAAACTAAGCTAGCCCTAAGTAAGATTATTCTGTACTTAAAAACCATATCCTATACCAAGCCTGTCACAACACTGTCTAAAATACACATACACCCACACACATGTGATATATTACACATACAACTATACACACATAATTTACACATACAACTATACACTCACCATTTGTAATGCCTTATCCCCAACCTTTTATCCCCCTAAACATGGGTGTTAAGAGCGAGCAGAGTGGTGAGAGTTGGAGCTCCGAAAAAACGTTTAAAACCCCATCTCCGGTTCTCAAGGCCGGACTGCTCCGCTCTATACCCACAAAAATGCCCACAAGACTACCCCACCTAGACACCGATATGTATATTGTGAAAGATTTCACTGCTTTGTGTGTGAGCACAGAAAAGGTGTTTTGAGTCGTGAACAGCAGCTGAGAGTGAAATATCGAGCACTCTGAAGGGGGAGAGGGCAAGAGTTGCCTAATCCTTCCTCGGAAACTTTAGAGGATTTTGCCTCGTCAATAATCTCTCTCTAACTCTCTCTCTCTGTCTCTCTCTCTCTGTCTCACTCTCTGTCTCTCTCTTTCTCTGTCTCTCTCTCTTTGTCTCTTTCTCTCTGTCTCTCTCTGTGTGTCTCTCTCTCTGTCTCTCTCTCTGTGTCTTTCTCTGTGTGTCTCTCTCTCTGTCTCTCTCTCTGTGTGTCTCTCTCTCTGTGTGTCTCTCTCTCTGTGTGTCTCTCTCTGTGTGTCTCTCTGTGTGTCTCTCTGTGTGTCTCTCTCTCTGTGTGTGTGTCTCTCTCTCCCTTGTAAAAATTCCCAGCAAGATCTTGTTAATTTTCTTACAAGATCATGACAAGAATCTTGACAATAATTCGCAAGATCTTTCCTGAATTTGGAACAAGGATCATGTAAGATAGTGGAAGATCTTGCTATCAAGATTCCTTAAAGTTCTTGCAAGATCAAATGCAAGATCTTTTCAAGATTCTTACTAAGTCTTAACAGGATCTTTCCTGAATTTGGAACAAGGATCATGTAAGATAGTGGAAGATCTTGTTATCAAGATTCCTTCAAGTTCTTGCATGGTATTTTAGCATACAATGCTCTTTAAAAATTAATGCAACAGTAAGATCTAGGCAAGATCTTACATTGCATGAATGCATAATACATGTGTAAAATGTTGTGAAATGTGAATGTGAACGTCATTGATTTTTTTGATTGAAGTGATTAAAACTTCAGTTTCTTTATATGCTGCCATTACTGTTAAGGCTATCGTGGGTTGTCAACTACTTCCTGTGACGTCACATGATTTGTAAGATCTTTTAAGATCTTGTAAGACTCAAAATACTGTGATGTGTGATCTTACAGTATCATAAGATCATAGCAGATTTGTCAAGATCATAAACTTATGAGATTTTGTAAGACTTTATGAGATTTTAAGCTAACAAGATCATGTTAGTTCTTACAAAGTTCACAATGTGGGATATTTCAAGATTTTAATTAGGAAAATACTGCGATGTGGGATCTTACAGTATCATAAGATCATGGCAGATTTGTCAAGATCATAAACTTATGAGATTTTGTAAGATCTTATAAGATTTTAAGTTAACAAGATCATGTTAATTCTTACAAAGTTCTCAATGTCAAATATTTCAAGATTTTAATTAGGCATGATCTTACATTTTCTAACATATTCCTATCGCGGCGTCTTCTCTGTAGGGAACACCGCTGATCCCTTCTAGTTCGATGTCAGCAATAGTCTGGATTCAGTCCTCCTCTAGGCAGCTCGCTTCTCTGCTGGCTGTCAAATATATTATATTCACCATTCAATAAAACAAACTCTTTTTCTCAACAAATCAAATATCATACAGAAATAACAGAGCAAATGGAGAGACAAAAAAGCCACAATACAATATGCACTCACTCACGCACTCTAACTCTCTCATTCGCTCGTTCACGCTCACACGCACACACACAAGTCTAACAAATGTCTCCTTTTATACAAAAATGATCAATTAATTAATAATAATGAATAATAATAAGATAATAACAGAAAAACATCATAAAACCACACACACTCCCCCCTTGGATAGTATATTACTATCCAACATCACAAGTAACAAAATAACAAATAATTCAAAAAAAAGAAAAGAAAGAAAAAACACAAAACAATAATAATAATAATATTCAATCTTTTGCTCACAA